AAACTGAGCCAAAAAAACCAAAAACACATCAATTATTTATTTAATACATATATTTATATACATCATATACACATAATGTCATTTTACTGTATTTATTATCGTCTTTATCAATAATGCGCACTCTTCAGCCAGTTTTTGCAATCGCAGCTGTAGTTTCAACTGTGGGAGAACAAGGAAACGCAGAGGAGTGAGAGATCTCACTCTCTGACAATCTTTGGCAGTCCCCGTGTGTTTGTATCTCACAGCTGTTTGTACCTCACGGGTCATGCTTTGGACACGGACTTTCAGACAAACGTAGTTTATCCTCCGTGCATCGCACAGACAAATCAAAACTAGTTTCGGAAAGCCCTGATTACGTACTTCACAGAGGAAAAAAAAGTAAGTTGCTACGTTTTACCGTTCGCGAGTAAATTGATCATTTGTAAAACATGTGCGCGTGCATCGGCACCGATGCACGCGGGCATATAGGGTTAAACGAGTGACTTCAAAAATTCACAGTGAGTCAACTAGAGTGGTCCAAAAAAATTCACTTCCCTCAGCATTGACACACATGTGGATCGGAGCTTTAGGCCAAGAGCCAACTTTTGGACCATCCTGTGATGACGTTTTTGAGAGGTCAGCTAATGCTATATTTTAGCATTGGCTAATTCTTATTCAGGGTCCACCTCCATCGGCCTGGGGTGGTATTGCAAGCATGTCAGCGCACATCATTTTGGCCACTTTTGAGCTGGGACCATAGACTGTATATATTAACGGACAGAGTCACGCCTATCTCCGCCGTTCTAACTAATGGGCCAAAAAATGTGCTCTACTGGAGCTATCCAAAATGGCCGCGAGTGGTCCCGCCCACAAGAAAATTGTGAAAAAACGTATCTGCGCATGCGTCAGCCGGCGCAGCTCCATTCATTTGAACGAGAAACTTCAAAAATTCACAGCGACTAAACTAGTGGACCAAAAAAATTCACCCCCCCTCAGCATTGACACACATGTGGAACGGAGCTTTGGGCCAAGAGCCAACTTTTGGTCCATCCTGTAAAGAAGTTTTTGAGAGGTGCTATATATTAGCATTGGCTAATTCTTCTTCTGGGTCCACCCCCATCGGCCCGGGGGGGTATTGCAAGTAGGGCTGCAACAACGAATCGATAATATCAATAAAAATTTATTATTAAAAGCGTTGGCAACAAATTTGGTTATTAATAGTTATTTGGTTATTTGGTTAATACGTCACCGAGCGCGCGAGTTGGGCGCATTCTTGTAGTTCTATGGTTGAGCGGACGGACGCGCGTGCACCACAGAACTACACAACACTGCATGCACACTGCCGTAGAACTCCACAGGAGAAGAGCAGAGTGTGGTGAAGGTGGTCATTTTTAATACAGTCTATGGTGGAGGCATTCACTCGAGCAAGACGGCGTTGAACCAGTGCAGAATAGCGACGCGAAGGCGAGCTTGCGAGTGTTGTACCGCACTAACTTTAGACACTTTGCACAGAGTCAGTGGGAACAGTGTTTCTCAGGGTCAGGGCTGTCATTGGGAAGTTCGGTGACAGGTTAGATTTGCGGAGTCAAGTCACGTCGGGGCGCCGCGCCGCGACTCCAGCCTCTGCTAGTCTCCGGTAAAATCTCCGCAAATAGTGCCTCCCACAAATGTATTATCGTGCCTCCCGCCATCACCGGGACAGTAACGTGTTGGAGAAACCTTTGTCTGGTGTTAGACGAGAGAGAGGGCAGGGGAGAGGAGAGAGAAAGCGGGGGAGATGAGAGAGGGAGAGAACAGGGACGAGAGAGAGCAGGGAAGACGAGAGAGAGAGCAGGGGAGACACATTTTATGAAAATTCTAAAATCCACAATTTCCAACGCCATATGACGTCATAATATGCTAATTAGATGGGTACACTTATTCCCTACATAAAGCTTTTGGCCATCCTTAATAATTCTGTAATTTACAGAAAGTCTTTATCTCCTATCACTTTTAAGTTACAGCCTTTTAAAAGCCTTTTTATTTTGAAATAAAAATGTCAAACGTTTTTGAGTATATGCACTCAACAACGTACAATTACCCTAAAAATGACTTAATTACACAAACGCGTCTTGTCTGTAATTGCTCTTTGGGTTAAACAACAATACCTGTTTTGGTGCACTTTACTTTATACTGCATAGCATACATTTGTATGTTTCTTTGTGTTGATCCAAGGCCACGTTTTTTCATAACGGGATGGAAACTAAAAATGCTTTTTTTTTTTATCCGATTAATCAATTATTCAAAGAAATAATCAACAGATTAATCTATTATTAAAATAATCGTTGCAAGCGATAATTGCAAGCATGTCAGTGCACGTCATTTTGGCCACTTTTGAGCTGGGACCCGCCCCCACTGGTCTTTTCCCATGATTCATCTGTCTCCAAAAACACAAATTATTTTGTGTTTGCTATGCTTACTTAAATTGTCATCATTGTACTTTTTTGTACAGTGTACAAACGAGCTGAACACGTTCTACTGTCGCTTTGAATCCGCTGATGCCTGTCCTACTGTATTCCCTGAGTGTTTCAATCAAGGTACCTTCACCGTGACTCAGGAGGAAGTCAGGCGTGTCTTGTCCAGGACCACAGTCCGGAAAGCCCCAGGCCCGGACGGCATCCCTCCTCGTGTCCTGAAACAGTGCTCTGAGCAACTTGCCCCTGTGCTAACAGACATTTTCAACCTGTCGCTAAGGAACTGTACTGTGCCGAACTGCTTTAAAGAGTCGACCATCATTCCAGTTCCTAAGAAAACTCCTGTGACATGCCTTAATGACTATCGTCCTGTGGCCCTCACGTCTGTTCTTATGAAAACTTTTGAGCGGCTTGTGCTGGACTTCATTAAGAGCCAGATCCCTGTGAGCGTTGACCCGCTCCAGTTTGCTTACAGACAGAACAGGAGTGTGGAGGATGCCATCTCCTTTGCTCTGAACTCTGTCTACAGTCACTTGGACACTAGTAAATCTGTCGCGAGAATGCTTTTCATCGATTATAGCTCTGCTTTTAACTGCCTTGTCCCAGGTAAACTGATTGAAAAGCTCATGTCTCTCGGTTTAAGTGTTGCCATGTGTAAATGGATTATTAGCTTTTTAACTGACAGATCTCAGAGAGTGAAAATCAATGACTGTTTTTCTGATGTTGTTTCTGTGAGCACTGGTTCTCCTCAGGGATGTATTTTGAGTCCTTTGCTTTTTACTTTGTACACTCACGATTGTGTGTCCTCCTCTGACTCAAACTTGATCATTAAATATGCTGATGACACCACCATCATCGGTCTCATCAGTGACAATGATGAATCCTCTTATAGAGCAGAGATACAAAATGTGGTTCAGTGGAGTAAAACTAACAACCTCCAGTTGAACGCATCGAAAACATGTGAACTGGTCTACGACTTCAGTCGCAATAGTTCTCATTTGCCTGTCGTAATCGACAACTCCCAGGTGCAGATCGTAGAGGAGTGCAAGGTTCTGGGTTTAACTCTGTCTAACGACCTGAAATGGGTTAAAAACACTGACCGAGTCGTTAAGAAAGCTCGTCAGCGTCTCTACTTTCTGCGTAAATTCAGAGAATTTACTTCTAACTCTAAGATTCTGCTTAACTTTTATCGCTGCACCATTGAGAGTTTACTTGCTGGTTCTGTGTCTGTGTGGTTTGGAAACATCACAGATAAAGAAAAGAGATCTTTAAACAAGGTGCTCCGCTCTGCAAAGAGGACCGTGGGCTGTGAGCTTCCTGTTCTGGAGGTTCTTTATTAATCCAGACTTTTAAACAAAGCTCTTAGGATTGTCAATGACTCTTCTGGCCACCCTGGGAAAGCCATGTTCCAGCTTCTTCCCTCTGGCAGAAGAGATCGCTCTCTGAGATGCAGGACATCTCGTTACGCTGACAGTTTTTATCCACAAGCTGTTATCAGTGTGAACAGAGCACTTTAATGATTTGCACTTGTTTTGAACTGTTTTAGTCGATCGATTTCACAGTGACATTTGTTTACTGTTTTATTTGTTTTATTTTTGTCTTTTAATGTTGTTTTATGTCTGTCTTTGTCTGTGCGCACTGGAGACTTTTGCTAATGTATTCCAATGTGGTTTTTTTTACTGCAAATGGCAAATAAACTGAATCTGAACTGAATCTGAATCAGTGTTGTGCCAGTTCACAGCTTTTCGGAACTAGTTCAAGTTCAGTTCATACATGCTCAAAGTGAACAGTTCGCGTTCAAAGTTCACAATTGTAATTCTGAACTAGTACAAAGTTCAGTTCATTTTACTTTTTTTGTGAGATATTCAAATAAATACTTTTTTTCACACTACGAGCTAGAAATCACTATATGTGTGTATATATATATATATATATATATTATCCTGTACACCGCACAGGATGAGAGCCTTTGACTCCAAAACAGACAAGATTTACATGGTTTTCAATGGGAGCAAACTGAGTTGTCCCATCTCTGCTCATAAGTACTACAGACAGTAATGCGCTGCAGTACATGTGTCTATACTTTATGTCAAATGTAGACGGCCCTGTGGTGCTGACTTACCCTTTGTTTTCATCACAACTCGGGCACATGTGAGTCCAACAACCCATGAAAAGTACTAGCTTACAGCGCCACAACGCAACCATGGACTGAGTCGGGGTGCGTTCAGACGGTGGAAACCGTAGGAATTTTCAGTTTTCGGTAGAAAAAGTGCAGTGAATACCAGAGGGAAGAACTTTCTCTTGTTCCGTTTCAAAAGAGAAAACTGATGTCACTCAGTTTTCAATGGAAAACAAATTGTCTGCCGTTCATGACACATAATATGAACTAATTCATGTTCAAGTTCTTTATTACAAAATGTGTTGCTTTCAGTTCAACGTTCACGAAAAAATTAGCGTGTTCAATGAACGCGTTCACGCACAACACTGGTAAAGTAGGGCCAATTTAGTAGTAATGGAAATGCTCTACAAGTACTGTAGACTTATTGAATAATGTATGTTTTTGTGCAGGTGTTCTTGGGTCTCCTTCACAAGAAGATTTGAACTGCATCATCAACATGAAGGCTAGGAGCTATCTGCAGTCACTTCCTGAAAAACCCAAGATCCCCTGGGAGAAGCTCTTTTACAAAGCAGACTCCAAAGGTACCATGACATTTGAAATGCGTTATGCAGGTTATAACTTAACAGTGATAAAAGATAAAGGCTTTCTTTAAAGTGGCAAAAATACCCATCTAAATTGCATTTTATGACGTCATGGCGTTGGAAATCATGGATTTTTGAATTTTCCTAAAATAAGTGTCTATTATTTTTGTAAATAACAGACATACAAATAACTAGGAAATGAACTCTCAAAAATAACTCTCACTGTAACATGCTAAATGTTCAGGGAAATAGTAAAAAATGCAAATCTGCTGTGAGCAGCATGCCAAGACGCGCGCCTCCAGGTGAAGCACGCGACTGTCACCACGACTGTCCCAGCTGCTATGTCACCCCTGCTCTCTCTCTCAAACACAAGACAAAAGCTTTTCCAACACATTGTAATAAATCTGTGGGAGGCACTATTAGCCTTTAGCACAGGCTGGAGTAGCAGCGCCCCAGTGCAACTTCCAGTCTTGTTCTACGCAAATCTAACCCGTCTTCGAACCTCCCAATGATCCCCCTTACCCAGAGAAACACTGTTCCCACCACTGACTCTGCAAAGTGTCTATATTTTGTGTTTGGTGCGGTACAACACTTCGCTATGATTTCCGCACTGATTCAACACAACACGGTCCAACTCGAATATTTTGTATGGGAGCATGAGGTTTTTTTGGGCCAGGGATGTCTTCTGACATGTCTAGACAAACTAGTGGCAGGAAGTTTTTCGTCAAATTCATTGACACATTTGATTTTAATGTGTCAAAATTGTGTCCATCTTATGCTTGCAGTGTCATTTAGCCTACTGTATTTTCGTTCATTCATTTGACCTGCGCACCCCCTCCAATTACTTTGCGCCCCCCATTTTGGGAACCACTGCATTAGGCCAACACATGTCCTTTCTCCTCCTTAGCTTTGGACCTTCTGGGACGCATGCTGACTTTTAACCCCAACAAGCGCATCACTGTTGAGGAGGCTCTGGCACATCCTTACCTGGAGCAGTACTATGACCCCACAGATGAGGTAATGGGCCTTTGCAGTGAGAGGATGACCTTAATGTTGTGTAGAAATTGAATAAACCAATGACTTATACTAGAGCTCGGTTAAGTATGAAGTAAATATTGATCAATGTGAGGGATGGCGCAAAATAATTTCAAGATGACAATCTCAAAGCTTTCCTCTTAAAGTGTGTGGGCTCTAGTTATATGTGGCATCAAGTGATTTAGAAGAATTACATTTGAGATGGATTGGAAACTTGTTCTTTCTGCTTGCAGCCGGTGGCCGAGGAGCCCTTCACCTTCACCATGGAATTAGATGACCTTCCCAAGGAGCGGCTGAAGGAACTGATCTATGAAGAAACTGCTCGTTTCCAGGAGACCTACCAAGGTTCCTGAGAATTCCAGGTACAAAGTACTGATTGTAAATGTCAAGTCACAGCTGCTGCACTGGTTTGAAAAAATATACAAAGGACTTCTAGGTTAGGGTCAGTCTGTCATAGACAAAGATGTGTCTTCGGTCAAACGTTTAAACAGGGAACCAGTGCAGTATTGGCCTGAAGTCATAATCAAGAATTGTGTAACACCAGTAGGGCTGGGACAACGCATCGACGTAATCGATGACGTCAATACAAAATATGCGTGTCGATTTGTCATACTCAAAACAAAGATGGCAACGAGTAGTAGCACTAATACGCTAGTGCCTTCAGACCGGCAACGCTGGAACGCAGTTTTCACGCGCAGTTGACGCACATTCTCTAAATTATAGAGGCTTGGGGTGGTCAGACCAGACTAGTTAAGCTAGCGGAGTTAAGCGAACGGCTTTTTGTGTAAAGTTCTTCTCCAATACTGCAGCGTCTTTGTGTCCAGAGACCTTCCAGAGACTTTATATAACAGCAGTATGTGTTCACGGAGGTGCGCTATACGTTTATTTTATTATTAGATGGTACTTCCGCATCGGCTAGCTGCGCTAGTTTAGTCACTGGCGAATTATACTCTGGCTGGAGGCACATGTTCACAAGCACACACAAATAGACAGACAGAATTCTTCAGGGGAAAGGAAATTGTCCGAGACTAAGTTGTTATTTGTGAATGAAAATATTTTTTTTTCAGCACGCTAGGCCTATGTTCAACATAACTGTTGAATTCTAAATGTTTTTTTATTATTTTTTGCTAGAAAAGCATTCTCTCTTTAGCTTAAAGCCCTCAAGTTTACATTGGTTACTGTATTCTTTCAGTTGCTCTAAAAAAGTATTTTGGGTGAACTTTTATTTTATTGTATTGAATGCTAAACATAAAGTATTATTTTCATCTGAAAGACGAATAATAAGATGCACTTTTTTCAGCAAGCTAGATGTGTTTTCAAGGCTTCAAGGTTTTATGCTACCTCTAAGAATGTCTTATATTTGGATTTTAAGAGCAATAAATACATTTTATTAAGGAATTCATGTTTTTTCATTCATAAATGTAAATCAACACACAGTGTATACAGTCAAAATCGCTAGATTAATTGTTTAAAAAAATAATCGTATATCCCAGCCCATTATCAGTAATGATAATCTGTAGGAAAGAATTGCAGCATTTCAACCATGAACTTTACCCTCAGCCAAATATTCTTAATGTTGTTTTCTGTTCATGTGTGTTTTTTTGTAAACAGCTGTAAACGTGTTACACCAAACGAGTCCTGGAACAAGACGACCCCACCCTAATGCTACAATAAAGAAAGATTCATCAAGAAACCGAAAAACAAGCAAGACTTATGAACATTTATGTGCTTATCTTTTCATTCGAACTGCAGGAGAAGAGTTTCCTATGAATCCAAACCCCAATGGCCCATCCTGGTTTCTCTCATATCCCATAGAAATCCCTCAGCAGTTATCACCTATAGCCAGTTCTATCTTTGTGACATAGAAAGTGGGTTCTTATTAACTACACCTTTCACAGAGCTTAGAGGGCTGACAGAACGAGGATGCACTAAGGGTCTTCTGCTCTTTTGACTGTGCTTGTTGCAGATTCGGTTCTCTCATCAAATGGATGTTCTAATCAGTTGTTCGAGTCAATTTTGTATGTTTTTTTAGCTTTATATTTGCAATTAATTTTGAAATGGGACAGTGGATGTTTATACCGGCATGTAGATGGGTTTAGAGGTTTTATTCGTATTCGTTGCTTCTTTTCAGTTCTTAATTGAGAATGCATGCATACCTGTAATGTACCAAAGTGACATAAGGAACGAGGAACTTTGCATACGCGGAACTACTAGTGCATTAATTGGCACATTTTAATACATTTTATTTAGTTTATGCAATACGATTCAGTCAAATTCCTAAAACTAAAAACTAATATGGTGAATAGTTCTTCGGCTGCAAACATTTCTGCAATGCTTGAGTCTGGCAGGACCATTTGGGAGATTTTCGCTTCTATTTTTCCTTCCTTCATCTCGGGCTCAGCCCTGTTAGCAACACATTTCCAGGTGACATTCCTGAATTATGTTGTTGCACTGTGCTTTGCTGCTGCTGTTTTCCCCCAGGTCGCCAGAGCCTTCAGAGCACAACACGCATGCAGACCAGGGCTATTCAAAGTTTAAGACAGTGCAATTTCCGCCAAGATCTCACAATGTGCTCTCTCCTGCCGTCACAACAATCACAGCATTTCCTACACGACTACTGTACATTCAAACGTGACCTTAATAGCTGGACTCTCCACACGCAGGCTCCTCTGTCCTTCCTAGTGTTGCCTGTGTGCGCGCGCTGCTTCTTTTGTATTTGTTGGATGTATTGGTGATTTGCATGCACGTACTGTATGTCTCTTTTTCCAATCCGTCCATTTTCTTTTCTCGGATTTGTTTTAATGACTAACCACTGGCTGCTCGGCCTGCACTACGCGTCGCGCTGGGGTCAACTCCCGGACTGACAAATGCACTGGAACCAAGTCTCTAGACTCAGTACTACAGTAGTACTACTATTATCATTATTTTTTTTTTTTAATTTTTGGGTTTTCTCCAAAGCCATATGATTTTTGCCGGACGCATCATCCTCCTATCTCTCGCTTTACTCAAAAGGGCTGCTCCCTGTCTTATCTTCCCTTCGCATCTGTTGCTATTTTCTCCCCCTCGTTTTTCAACTTTTGGACTTTGCTGCTGCTTCAACCGTTGAGAGTTGTTGGGTATCAGCGGCCAGTGAACTTGCACCAATCAACAACTCAATCGGCACGCCTGCACTTTTGTCTTTCCAGCCATGCTCTCTGTAAACCCCCTACTTTTATGGAGACTGTTTTGAAACCTTGTGTCAGCTTTAAGTTACCTTCCCCATCCCTGCTTTGTGTGCGTGCGTGTCTTTTTGCAGTAATCCTGTTAGTGTAAAAGTATTTGTATATCTGACAGCAACACGCCAAGATTCTTTCTATTTGTGGTGTATTTGGAAAAGTGACTCGTGTGTACTTTTTTGTTAATTTGCTTTTTACATATCGTTTTTAAAATTTTTGGCCACAATTAAACTGGCGTAATACCTTTTTCAACCAGGCCCTGATTGCTTAATTTCTGACCTGCCACAATCCGAACTTCACACTGGGGACCTATGGCAACGTAAGAATTTGCACTTGCACACGCACCACACTTTTGTTCATTCAATGCTTTCAAGTCTAGAAGCCTGTTCTTTTTAAAATGGCTATTTCTTGCTATTGTCATATGATGGTATTTTCTTTTCTTTTTTTACACAAAAGGGAGCTTTGGGATTATTTTATTTGTATTATTTTCTTTCTTCTCTTAATGGGCGTGAATATATTAGTCAACTGTTTTTCAATTCAATGTTTTATTCAATGATTTTTTTTTTCTCTTGATTTATTTTAAAACAATATTTGTAGATTGTCGAAGACGTATGAGTTATTGAGGGTTTTACTGTATATTCTATTGATATTATGAATTGAACAATTAACATATGAATATTTAACATTTCCTGAAACTGGTCAAATCTGTTAATTTCTTGTTTACAAATGATTGATGTACCGGCTTTGAGGCTTATTCAAATTATAATAAAACATGTGATAACATTCATTGATAGTCATTTTTTACAATTTTCATATTCCATAATTGCCTGACGATAAGCTACTTTTTCAGTTATTTTAACTCTTGCCAAAAAGCTATGTGGAAGTATTGTTAGAGCGCCTTCTGATGTGCAGGAAGGAGATCCAGTGACGTGCGGTCAGATAAGGCAGGTCATTGGATCATGGAAAGAAAAAAGGATAAAATAAAAACAATAATACTTTGTCACTATATGAAGTGATATGTGCTATTGTATTATTTCAATGTAAATTTGTCAAATATGAGAAAAATGACACAAATCTGCGATTTCAGGCTAAAAATAAATTAAATATGGCTGAGCGGCACTGTGAGGCGTGCCTCAACTTAGGAGACATAAAAGCCACAGCTCACAGTGGAAGAAGCCCGTGCGACGTTATCGAACTGTTTTATCTGTTTATCGCGGTTTACAAAGTTAAAACCTTTTTAATTTACAATCAACATGTCTACTTTCGAGGGGACAACTAAATGGGTCTTTATCGCACTCAACCACGGCTTGTAATGTCATCAAGTGAGGCGAGCCTCAGGGTAGGGGGCGCTTGTGAGCCAGAATTCGGTTGCATCCGATTCCATCAGAAAGCTCCTTTCTTGTTCTTCATCTGCTAAGGGCAGCTACAGGTTTGGCTAACATACATTTAACACATGACATGTTAAGATAATTTAAAATGCACTCAGGGTAATGTTGTTCTTCCAATGATTATATGAATGATAAGGAAGAGAGGTGAGGGTTGAGAAGGTTGATCTTAGAAATCGGATGCACCCTAGAGTCGGCTGCAGCTAGCGAAACACATAAGGAGTCAATTTAGGAGGCACCCATTTGTTTTTACTTTTTAAAACTCATTGGACTTTTTTCCAAATGGAGGATTACATACCTACGCTCAAACTACTATCTGGACATAAACATGAAACTGGTCCGAACAGAAGTGGTCTGGGCAGTTCATTTATAAGGCAAGGACCATAACACACTTTGAAATGTGCTTTTTACAAACTCTTGCATTTTATATGAGGAAACAATGAAGGCATGAAACATATTCTGCTGTAGGCAAACACATTGTGAATAAGCCGCTCAGTAGGTTCTGTTGATTTATATGATATATGTTCATCTGATTGGGGTGAAGTCAGTGCCTCTCCAATCACCAGTGTTGGGCACGTTACTTTGAAAAAGTAAATAGTTATAGTTACTAGTTACTTCTCCCAAAAGAGTTACTAACGGAGTTACTCCACTATAAAAGTAACTATTGCGTTACTTTTTCGTTTTGTTCTGGAACATAATGTGCACTCGAGGTGCGCATTTTTACCTTTAACCTCAGTGAGTTTGAAATAGTGC